TTCCCAAGAACCACTGGGCCAGAAAAGCTGAAACTTACGTAGAAGCATCCTGGGGTAGTGTAGATTCTAAATTGTTCAAATCATGACCCCCGGGGGTAGGGCGGGGCCACATTAGGGAATCCAAGTTTTACATTGAAATATGCAGAAAAAAATCTTTAAAAATCTTCTTCTCAAGAACCACTTGGCCAGAAAAGCTGAAACTTATGTGGAAGCATCCTGGGGTAGTGTAGATTCAAATTGTTAAAATCATGACCCCTGGGGGTAGTGCAGGGCCACAATAAGTACTACGGGGTGAGGGGGGAGAAATCAGGTGAAAAACAGCAAGGCCAAAGTTATTCAGGTGAGCGCTGTGGCCCATGGGCCTCTTGTTTATTACATGTAGCTCACCTTCACTGTTTTAAACTTTTCCCATTTTCATCTTCTTCTCCAGACCCGCTTGGCCAATTTCAACCAAACTTGCCACAAAGCAACCTTTGTTGAAGGGGATTCAATTTTCTTCAAATGAAAGGCCATGTCCTCTTTAAATGGGAGATAATTAAGAATTAGTAAAGAAAAAAATGGCATCTTTCAAAATTCTTCTCAAGAACCTTTGGGCCAGAAGAGATGAAACTTATCTGAAAGCTTCATTTCATAGTGTAGTTGTAAGTTTGCTAAAATCATGACCCCAGGGAGTAGGGTGGGGCTTCAACGGGCGATTAAAGTTTTACATAGGAATATATAGGAAAAATCTTTAAAAAATCTTCTCAAGAACCACTGAGCCAGAAGAGTTGAAACTTATATGAAAGCTTCATTACAAAGTGTAGATTAAAGCTTGTTCAAATCATGACCCCTGGGGATAGGGTGGGGCCACAATGGGCGATCATTGTTTTACACAGGAATATATAGGAAAAAATCTTTAAAAATCTTCTTCTCAAGAACATCAAAGCGATGAATAGTCATATAGATATGGAATCACCCTCAGGTAGTGCCGATTCAAATTTGTTCCAATCATGACCACCTGGGATACAGTTGGGCCACAGTTGGGGATCTAAGTTTACATAGGAATATGTAGGAAACAAGATGTGTTTGTGAAATACTGATGCCCCCGTATGACAGCTTATGGCGAAGGTTAAAGTGTCTCAAATGCAAGTCAAAATCCAAGCCAAAAGATAAAAAATGTTGGTACCCAAAGAAAGGTCTTGTCTCTAGGAATATACCTGTGAAATTTGAAAGTCCTAGCTGCAACTGTTCAAAAGTTATGGCGAAGGTTAAAGTTTTTTAAAAGTAAGTAAAACATCAAGGTCAAAGTTGTTGGTATCCAAAGGAAGGTCTTGTCATAAGGATTACATATATGAAGTATGAAAGCCCTAGCTCCAACCATTCAAAAGTTATGGCCAAGGTTAAAGTTGTTCAAAAGTAGGTCAAACTCCAAGGTCAAGGTCAAAAGGTCAAAGTTGTTGGTATCCAAAGGAAGGCCTTGTCACAAAGAATACACATGTGAAGTTTGAAATCCCAAGCACCACCTGTTCAGAAGTTATGGCCAAGGTTAAAGTCTCATAAAATTTTGCAAAAGTGGGTCAAACTCCAAGGTCAAAAGGTCAAATATGATGGTACCCAAAGAAAGGTCTTGTCACAAGGAATACACATGTGAAATATGAAAGTCATAGCTCCAACCAATCAAAACTTATGGGCAAGGTTAAAGTTGACAACAGACAGGCAAACGAACAAACAGACAGACAGGACAAAAACAATATAACCCCAGGATCTTTCGATCCAGGGGCATAAAAATCTGATGAAGAACAAAGGCATTATTAGTCATATTGATATGAAAGCATTCTCAAATTGTGTAGATTCAAGTTTGTTCAAAGTTTTGTATAGGAATATATAGCAAAAAATCTTTAAAAATCTTCTTCTTAAGTACAGCAAAGGAATGATTAGTCATGTTGATATTGAAGCATCCTCACTTAGTGTAGATTCAAATTTGATGAAAAAAAGCCAGGGCCATAATGACTCAGTTGAGCATTTGTGGCACATGAACCTCTTGTTTTATCACTGGTATTTTCTTTTTCAGACAAGGTTAATGAGTTGGAGCAGCGAGTAACTTTTCTCCAAAACAGGTATGCAATGGAAATCATAATTGTTAATCAGTTGGTGGTTGTTCTTTCATTCTTTTGTACATTTATTCACATACAAAGCAGAAATAGGAATCATTTTACATGACATGTCTGCACATTTGCCACCCTTTTATATTTCAGATTAAATGAGATAGTATTTAGAGCCTGTTTATTGTTTGTCACCAGAGCTATATAATATTCAATTTTTGCTGTTTTTTTCATTTAATATGATGATTTAGCTTCCCTTCGGAGTCGGTGAATATTATATGGGGGGCATGAATATTATAAGGGGGGGGGGCATTATCAGGGAAAACTGACAGCTGAAAAAAAAATCTTTGATTAGCCCCCACAATGGCCACAAAAAGAAAATTATCTTAACTTCAAATTTTGTTTTGGGGTTGGGGTGGGGTTAGGGTGGGGGATTAAGGTCCATTAGTGGGGACCAGCCTTTCAATGAATATTTTAGTCTAAATTTAAAGTAAAAATTTACATTAAAAAAAATGTTGGGGGAAGCCTGCACCCCCCAACCCAAATTATATACTCCCTAATGTTATGTTCACCTGAGTGGAAGTCGGTAGAAAGTAAAATAGCTTTCCAAAACTATTTGCATCAATTTGGAATTTCCCACTCTATTTGTAGACTAATGTAGAGAAAATAAATCCTTATATTCACCTGGAAGGTTACTAACTAGTATTTTTTCTACATTGTTGGATCTTAGCCAATCAGAGAGATAGCAATTATTCAATCATATACCTGTAATGAATTATTTTATGAAAGTAAAGTTTAACAGAAACCAAACTTGTTTTGGTGACCTTTCTTAGCTCTCATTACATTGTACAGATTGCTGTTGCAGGTCATGGGCCTTCCTTGAAAAACTTGTATTCCAGAATATTTCATATATTAATATCCTCTGTAGATTTTCACCTGTATTTCTTATAAAAACCACTTCTTTCATCAATCAGTAAACGTAGGTTATATAGAACCAGTTTTTAAGCCACTTGTATAGATTTCTTGTGCAGCCTGCTTTTCAATCAATGAAACTCACAATGACCTGCATATGTCATATTTATGTAGGTACTTAAAATTACTTTTATTTATATGATTATCTATACAGACATAAATACTTGTATAAACAATAAAATGCTTTTTTTGTCAATTAGTATGGGAATTAATGGTTGCAGCTTGCACAGGTTATTTTTTGCTGCAACATTAATTCCTTTACTAACATGCGAAGAAAGCATTTTATTGTTTAAGTTTTATCTTTTGATACAGAAGCAACAGTCCTTAAGAAGGAAAGAGACAGCCATAGATCTGGTCACTGAAGATTCCATGTCCTTAGCCTATATTTGACAAAAAAATTCCTGCTTTTGAAGAAGTGCTTTACAATAATTATACACTGGAGGATGAGCCCATAATATTAACTATGTAATAAGATAAAATTTTTATTATGCATTAAACAGTCGTACATGACACTTAAAAAACTTTTACTCAAGTTCAGACGAAAATTTTAATGTCATTTTTAACTTGAAGAACAGTAACTGGCAGCTGGGAATGTCTATAAAAACCTTTCATAAAAACAAATATTACTGTGATAATGCAAGGTTGTCCCTAAGACTCAGGGGCCAGGGATTTTCCCCGCCTATAATGACGTAATCCTCTGGTTATTCTCGTATCCCGCCTTCCCTTTTGTTAGGGGAGGAACCCAAAACACCCTCCTACTTTTTTAATGTCCCCTGCTATTTCAATTCTTAGGGACAACCCTGTAATGTATATATGCAAGTACAAATAACATAAATGTGAATACATTTTTGTAAGTTATTTAAGTTATTTTTTCTTGTATAACATGACTTACTTACTTGGACTTATTCCTGTTCGCTCCTTGGGGAGCATTAAGGGCCGCTCTGTCATATAAATTTATATTTTTGATGATTTAAGTCTCTACAATCCAATTAAAGTTTTCATTTTCATCAGATTTAAGATAAATTTAAATCATCCTCAAATATTTTGCAATTGATTATATACATATTTTGCAATTTTTCAATGTGATCATTCTAACTGAACAAGCTGTTATCGTTTTCTCGTAAATGCTGCTTATCAATTATCATATCTATAAATGCACTTTGTATACATTTTTTTTATATTGTTATAAATTTTACTGGTTTTAACCAATATTACTGGTAAGTTCCAGGATGTTTTAATTTATATGTAATTGTTATGCATCCAATTTTGATACGGTGATAATGTTTTCTCAGAGTTGTTTGAGTAGTACAAGTTTTTTTGTTCAGGATTCTCATATATTCTATTCTGAGATGTGTTGTAGACAGATTTAAATAAATGTACCGGTATATTTTTATACTGTTGAACAGATGCCCGAGTTTCAGTTTATTACATAATGTTACAGCGATCTACAAATGATATATGCTGTACTAAGATTATAAGGTGACAATATTTGACTTGTTTACCGGTAATTTTAGCTAGATCCACAAGCATGTCATACAATTTCAAGTGTTGAAAAACTTTGCACAAGTGGTCATATAGTAAATATCATCCTCGCAAGCCAGGGGTCCTGAGTCAACACGTTGCCATTGGACCCCTGGCATATTTCCTTCAATATTCGTGGGCTTGCTTCTCTCATTGAGAAGCACCAATCAAATTAAAGCTTTCAAAAATAGTTAGATAAGGATTCAATTGACACCTCAAATGCACGTATTACAAGTTGTTTATCATAGAATGGCTTAATGTGATTGGTTGAGAGATAAGAAAAACAATCAAGATTTGTAATTTTTCCGAAAGATGTCGCTACAGTCAGCCCACAAATATTGAATGAAATATGCCAGGGGTCCAACGGCAACGTGTTGACTCGAGACCCCTTGCTTGCGAGGATGAGTAAATATGAAAAGATTACACAATTGCAATACATATTAATCAAATTCAACAACACTTCCTAATTACACTTTAGTCTCAGTGATATTAATTCTCACATATAATAGTGTTGCATTGATCATTCATCCTTCAAAAACTGAATAATAAGGAAGGTTTAATGATTCATGATTTGCTCCTCCAAAGCTTTATACTATGGATTGAAAGGAAGGGAATATAGATAGTCCTTAAGCAGATGTGGTAAGGGAAGCTTCATAATATTAGATGGGTTCACTACACTCAGAATAGTGTATTTACACATACACTGAAGATTTAACACTTTTGGTAGCTGTAGTATTCGAATTTTTCTGTCCCAGCATGCAATAGCCACCTGTTCTCCCGTAGCCGTGATAGCCAGGCATGTCACGTTGGGTACGATGGACCCTAAATTAGCTGAAACATCCATAAAATCTGGACAACTTACAGTCAGGTTAATCTCAAACAATACACAAAGTTCATCTGCATCAAGAACTTTGATTCTTAGGTTAAATAGGGACGTCACAATACAGTTGGCATCATATGAGTACTTGAGACAGTCCACAAAACTTCCAAGATTGTCTGAGGAGCCAAGCCTCTTTTTTTCATCAGTATTGATTCTGTACAAAATCATGTCATTGGCAGCAACAGCCATGACACAGTGTTGGGATCTGGGGTCAAAGTCAAAAGTAGATGGACCACAGAGTTCATAGTCAGAAATCACATCTTCAAAAACACTACAGACCCCTTGGAGTTTCCTCCAATCAATTACAATTAACTGCCCCCTAGAGAGTCCTACAGCAACCTGTCTGCTGTCTGGTGACCACTTTATGTCTGTTCTTTCTGTTAAGGACAGGGGTGGAGGCTTTATGGTGGGATATAGGTCATCAACTTTTATCACAGCTTCAGCATGCAATAAACTGCATGACCCAAACACAAAAAATGTATAACAACTTGAAGAGGTTTTTGCGAGGATTGCATAAAAACTTCCATTAGGTGAAGTGGCATAGTCTTTGTACTGGGTGAGGGAAGGGTCGTGTGCCCTCTTAATGATTGGGTTCATTGTTTTGTAAAGAACAAAATGTTCACTGATGCTGGATGTGGATAAAGTTGTGAATTTGACTCCATCTGGACTTATCTGGAGTTTTGGAAATCCTTCACATGTCGCTTGAGGGACTGTGCCACATTCTGAAAGAATAAAAAATATATTGTGTACTCGTGCAGATTATCAAGATCTATGACCAGAGCTTTTTTGATGAAGAAATTATTAAGGATGTCAGTGAGTAGTCAAGTACTCAACTATTGTTCAGTCATACCAACAATCCACTAAATATTTTTTACTCAACAAAAATATGCTACTTTGTAATCTTTAATTCATGGTAATAAAACTGGATATATACCTTATTTATTTTTAAATGAATCAGTGTTTTCATGAGTAAAACATGGTTAAGGGTAAGGCTTAAAACCATTCTTAATTCACGGTTTTCAAAAAGAAAATATTTGTGCACTGAGTTTTGATAGTCAAACATACTATCAAAATATGCATATTTTAAAAGGTTTCATGATGGAAAGATGAACATAACTGTGTGAAGCTGAACTGGCATTTTGTGTCTTAATATCTTTATTATACATGTCATTGAATAATTTTAAAGGATCCATTAAATTTGCCGAAATCTGTAATTGAAATTTTGCTTGTCAGTTCCATGCAAAATCACTAAGGTGCAGAGTCCAAAAAAAAAAACAAAAAACTGATGCTTCACAAATATGATTGTAGTAGATCTTCCACCTCCTAGTGCTGGAAATGAAGAGGACTTAAAAGAATTATTTGATTCTAGCTTCAAATTAAACAAGAGGCCCAATGGCCTTAATGGTCACCCGAGTACATGTATAATGTAACACTATATATAAAGGATTCATTGATTGAATATAAAATAAAACGAAATAGGCTGATAAATGAATATATTTTGCCCAAAAGCAAGAGAAGTAGGATGACCAGGTTTCAGCAAAATAATTTAGTACTCTGTAACAAACCTTAAAGTTGATCTATTTATTTACCTGTACTTGCCCCCATTTGTCCCTATCTCCATGCAGACTAAACAAAACAATAGTTCTTGAGCACTTTTAGTAAACCCATCTTGTTCCCTCTCTTATTGGTCTCTCTTAGTCTTTGAAGAACATTTAATATATAAAGATAAGGGGGGGGGGGGTGTCCCATTTTTATTTATCTATTATTTTAAAGTCTACTTGACCATTATAAACTACGAATAAATTCATGAAATTCACAATTTTTGTTCCCCTTCACTCATAGATGTTCTATGCCAAAATTGGTTGAAAATGGTTTAGCAGTTCCAGAGAAGAAGCTGAAAATTTTCAAATGTTAACGGACAATGAACGATGACAAATGGAAGCAGATTGCAATAGGTCACCTGATGTAAATGATGAATTAAAGCATACAACTATTAAACTAAGCTGTCCAAGTAAAATTGCCATCCCTAGAAATTATATTTATGGATAAGAGGTTGAGAAATTTTACTTACTTGCACCTTCAAGATTATATTGCATTACTTTTCCACAAGGCATTGCAGAAACTTTTTTCCATACTGATCCATGCAAAATTTGGAATGGTGATGATGTTGAGAAAAGAATGTTGTCATTGTTTGGGAAAAACTGACAAAACGTCCACCATGCGTCAATGGCTGGATCTGTATATCATTAATTTCAGTGAAATTAATAAGCTGATTTGATGGCAAAATGATTCAAAGCAGAAAATCAAATAAACATTAAGGGAAATTTCCCTCCTTTTACATTTAATGAAATCTGTTGTGCTATATAGAGATTGAAAGATTTTTTTCAGAATAGAATACTACTGTAGACAATTTTGTTCAGAAAATATCAAATACATTGAACAGTTAAAACTTGCCCATTTCACAATCACAAAGTCACTTACTTTGCACAGAGTAATTGGGAAGAATGCGTAATGTCTGTATTAGCTCGCCTGGTCCTTTGACTTTGTGCACAGGGAACTTTTTGTAGGTTCTAGATGGGTAACATTTCACCACATCTGGACAGGCATATCCTTTGGCCCTGTATCCCTTAGATGAAGAATACGTAATCCCCATGGTCGCTTGTTTATATCCAAAATTTGTTTTCTTACAAGTCAAGTAAATATTTATCTCCCCTGTGCCCTGTGACTGTCTCTGTACACTGGTACAGTATCCTTCCTGTTACCTGCAATGATTTTGCCTTACTGCGCTGTCTGAAGCCTGCATAGTTAATTAACGATGGTGAAAATTATTTATCTTACACTAATTTTGTGATTGATTTTATGCTCTGGTGCAGGTATCTTGATTATACAATACAATATTTATTGGCGCAAACACATTGACAATAAATGGCAAAGCCACAACATATATAAGAATCATCAATTGTTGAAGTTCATACATTTATCAATATACAATATTCTAGAATGTATGGTGGCATATTTCTGCCCTCTACATGCAAGATAAATTATGTTAACATGCAACATAATTATGTAGACATGCAACTTACTTATGTCAGCATGCAAAATAATTATGTTGACATTCAAGTTACCAATCTCTTTAGAGAATCTAATTTTAATACTGGTGAACTTACTTACTAATGCCATTATATGACATCATATAAGCAAGATACAACAGGATTATGTTGACATGCAACTTATTTATGTTAACATGCGAGTTAATTATGTCGACATGCAAGACATGTATGTTAACATACAACTTATTATCTTGCATGTTGACATAAATAACTTGCATGTTAAAATGTAGCTCGCATGTTGGCATAAATAAGTCGCATGTTGACATAAATAAGTTGCATGTTGACATAAATAAGTTGCATGTCTACATAATTATCTTGCATGTTGACATAATTATCTTGCATGTTCACATAAATAAGTCGCATGTCTACATAATTATTTTGCATGTTAACATAAATAAGTCGCATGTCATCATAATTCTGTTGCAGCTTGCTTGTATGATGTCGTATACTTGCGTTAGAAAGTAATTTTACCAACATTAAAATTAGATTCTCAAAAAAGATTGGTAACTTGCTTGTCAACATAATTATTTTGCATGTTGACATAATTATCTTGTATGTTGACATACTTTTCTTGCATGTTAACATAATTTATCTTGCACGTAGGGGGCAGAAATATGCCACCATAAGAATGTTATACGATTTTATTCTTTTGTTACCTTCGCAACCATTTCTCTCGCTGTTCGATGCAATGTATACAAAAAATGGGAGATCACTCTAATCACAATTGATTGCGCAATGGATTTTTTGGAACGGATTTTAGAGTAATTTCCCTTTCTCCATGATTTAGCATTTGTTGGGGGGGATAGATATTTTGTCGAAAAAAAAGATCTATATCATAGATAATAAATGAATTTATAGAAATAGGCAGCTAAAAAATATATCGGATTTATTTTGATTTTATAATTTTTCTACACCATATCTATATTAACTCCCCCCCCCCCCTAAGGTGCACCCCTTTATTTAATTTATATAAAATATTTTAAGACAGAAATAAAGTGTTAAGAACTTTTATAGGATAAATATATATAAAAATAAGCTTTTAACAATGGCAGTTTAAGTTTATAACGTTTCACATAAGAGAGAGAGAGAGAGCGTATGTAGTATTTTGCATAATTTAGATTTAATCTACAAAGTAATTCACTTTCATTTACATAACACTCATGTAGATGTACATCGTTATATATATAGTTAGCAAAGAACAAAAATTATCCGACAATCGAGTGGCGATTATGTAACTAAGTGTTGTTGAAAGGCTACTTAACGGTGAAAAATAACAGTATATCAAAATAATCAAATTTGTTCATCTTGACAGATTGATGTAATACGTGCAGAACTGGATTAGAGATAACATCGGAGATTACACTATACATGCAATGGATACACGTGTTAATGAAATGTCGGTCTCTTTGACATATTGTCGTGGTTACTGAGTGCAATTTTTTTTTCCCGATAAACGAAAGATGTGTCCTATTACCTGAGAAAAATTGGGAAAATAAGTATAAGGCGTTATAGTTTGATACCTAGTTTCACTTTTATTTATTTATCTTTAAATACATTAAATTTTAAAGGGCATTATTTTAATTTCTGCATAAATAAAATATCTTTAGCAAATTTTTTTTTCTCTCTCTCTCTAAGCTTATTTTCTTTTTAAGCGATTAAAGTTTAGTTTAAACCATATTTTATTTGAAAATTACAAGCATACAGTACAGACATTAAGATTAAAGTAAAGATAAAAAAAAAGGACTCGGAAACAAGTTTGAAAACTGATGTTAATCTTCTCCTAGTCCTTATAATTCGCTAAGTAACAGAAGCCATTTGTAATATATCTTTACAATTTACAGTATATAATAAACTGGGATGTACGGTCTTAATACTCCCTATCCCAATCCATCCTTAGAAATAATATCTTTATGCTTTATTTTCTCTTTATATTATTCAAATTTATAACAAGGGCCGTAAGTGACGTCCATAAAAGACATAATTAATCCATAAAAACATGGTTAAAGATAAAACTTTTAAAAAATAACAAATATAGCTTTTTTTAAATTGAATTTGCCTCTTTTTTGACGCTCTGAAACACAAAATGTAAATCTTGACCAACATTTACAAATTTTATAGATTTACGATAGAACATGTTTAAAATTTGTTATTTTTCAAAAAAAAAAAAAAAAAAAAAAAAAGAATCACTGTTCTTTATAGAATATACAGACTTTTTGGGGAGAACAGATTTTCTGCATTGTTACTACATTTTTATCAAGCAGAAGCTGATCAATAAAATTCTGTGAAACTGAAACAGTTGCTTACAAAATTTTATATTGAAGGACATACGCAACATAGTTTTGAACATAATTTTTCTTATTCCCTGTATAATTAAAGAGTTTTAATAATTGAAGGACCTTTTTGCAATTTTTTGATGCCAGGTTATGCTGTACACCTCATTTGAATTTGAGGAAATACCAACTTTAAGTATATTTTTATTAATTTTTCATTTTTTAAAAAAACCCTGTTTTTCTGTAAGTTTGTCCACAAGATTTTTTAAAATATGCTTCAAGTTTCAACCCCTCATTTACCATGAGTATTTAATAAATTAAACAATGTCTGGTTCATAAATTTTGATACCTCCTTTCCTTACTTGAACCATGCTAATGCATTTTGATCTTCCAACTTATTATGGATTCCTGATACTTAAAAATGAGGTAGAGTATATGGTAGTTAGGCTGATATGACCCATTTTTGAAGAAGTGACTGCATACCATCAATTTTGCGGCAAAAATGGTAACAAGTACATTACTGTATCAATTTTCAAATTTCATGCCTTTCAGCATCTCTCAAAATTTCTCTAGCAATTATAACGTACAAACTTACGATGGATTTCTGTCCATTCTCAATACCACTAGTAATAAACTTACACAGTTTTCAATTACTTATTAGTGTGTAAGATAGATTTTACCTGATATATCACTACTTTCTTATTGCCAACTTGTTAAGAACAGTATGCAAGTTTTGCATAGATTTCAACTCTGATCAACTTAATACTATTAATAGGTCTATAATTCTGTTTTCTCATGTAAAATGAAAATTCATGAATTTTCCCTTATTGTGCACACTCAAGTCATTCGATTTCCAAACAAGTAACACAAAGAACCCCAGATATTGTTATTTTCCTAGGATTTTACATACTGCATCACTGTCAATCAATAAACAGAAAGAGAATATAGTATAAAAAATAATTTAATCAGTATCAAATGTAAAAAAGATATAACATAAAAAGCAATATCATGTCAATAATAATATAATGTGGATGGATTTACAAATGAATCATGCAGAGGTCTGCAGATCGAGTTGATCTTAGAAATACATACAAATTAATAACAAATGATGAAATGGGGAATTATTTGATTCCCTTGTATTCTTAAGGTTTCCTGTGTTCCCCAACATAACAGAGGTCATACAACACAGTCAAACAAAGAAAATCTTAAAATACAGAGAATGAAAACAAAAAGTTAATTTTTCACATAATTTTGGTACAGAATGTCATGAACATTTTCATCCACCGTTAGAATAATATTGGCACTCTGAGAATCAGGCATAACAAAAAGGAACACAATACAGGCACTTCTTTGGGACTTCTAGTCTATCAAAGTTGCAGAGACGAAGAGATCATGATTGAGCATCCACTGTTCACATGCTCAATGATCTGTCGTTTGAGTTTGCACACTTGGTCTCTGAGGGTAGTGGCAGAAGTTGCCAATTGGTTATTTTGTCCTTTCAATTCAGCCACACGTTCTTCAAGCCTTGCGATGCGTTCCAATTTTCGGGTTCGACACTTTCTAGCAGCAACCCTGTTTCTGGCTCTTTTTCGTTCCAGTTTGATTTTCTCCTGATTGTCCATGTTAATAGGAGACAGGGGAGGGGAACCAACACAAGGTACGGTCTGTGGTTCTTCCTTAATGTCATCGATTCGTGTGTTCATTTGGGAAAAGTTAGTGGCAATACGGGGAATATTTGCTGCTCCCACTGCTAACCCCCCTGGAAGGGACGTTGTGGAGGTCAGAGACAGGATTCCCTCATTATTGGAATAGGAATCATGAGAGTCATCTTCACTTTCAGAATCCTCGACTTTGACACTGTTACGGCTTGACGACTGTGTGGGTAATGACTGGGTACCTGATGTTGGTGCTGGTTTAATTTGATGAAGTTCTGCCAATGCCTCCACGAATCCTCGTGCATAGTTTTCCTGCTCTTCAGTGACATGTCTTGGAAAAATGAACTGTGTTGGTGTTGGCGTGGTCGTGACCAGTCCATTTGCCTGAATGATCATTTTCTCCAATTCTGGCGATGCCAATTTCAACATGTTCAAGTCAGGAGAAGCAAGCAAGTTTGTTACCTTTTGTTGTTTCGTTTTTGTAGATCCTGAATTGAAATCTAGTGTCATTTTTCGCTTTAACTGGTTCACTTGGTTGTTTTCAAGTTTTAAACCATGTCCATCATCATGGTAAAAAGTGCGGTCGATCGCTTCCATCGTTTTCGCCAGTTTGCCTCTTTAGAGTTGCTCACAAAAATATTCTGAAAAATTGAAGTTCTGTTTGTAAACACTGGTTTTCTGATTCACTGCTGATGACAAGCTTTTCTAAAATGCCGGTTAAGAAAACTTGTTCAAAACTCCATGAGTCACCCTTTACGCTGTGAATTGAGAAGTGTTAATAGTTATACGTTTCCCCCACTATTTATACGAAAATGAGTCAGTTTCTAAATTTAGAATGACATCATCTTTTAAACAGATTTCATTGGTCAATAATGACATCAGCATTACCACTTCCGTCCAAGTAGAACTCCTCTTATCTTATCATTAGAAGACACGGAATCATGGAATCCAATTAGTAAAGCCTTGAGGAATACCGATATTTCACCGTGACTTTCATTGGTTTATACAAGTCACATGTCTGCCGAAGGGCACTTCGGGAGTTTCAGCCATATAGAGGTTGATGTGACGTCTGATATCTACGTAAGGTCAATACCTTAAACGGCGAAACAAACCACGCCTCCATGTACAGAGTATATGTTGTTTTAATTGATCTGTCTTTATTCTAAAACGAATGAAACATCACTGTCATATTAACTTTGTGGTAACTATAGGAAAATATTATAGTTTTTCTTTGTATTTTTGCGCTTTTCAGCACGAGACTTTGTACAGAATCACATGACATGAAATGCGTGGTAGGGAAATTCCGAGCGCCGATGAGTCATCCACTGTTTAGGTACAAGGTGTGTATTGTTGGCAATACACAAAGATAGGAATGGGACAAACAGAATGGGCTTGGCGTGTCAATCATAAATATCCTGTGCAAATAGGCCTACTGCACCAATTTCCCCCAAATAAAGCAAATATTGAAATAAATTCATTTGTTAAAAGGAAAACATATATTCACGTTATAAATTTAATAAAATTTAAGAATTGCTTCTTTTTAATTTATATTACCAAAGTGACTATACATGGGACCAGTATGTACAAATTTCCCACATGGCATTTGATTTATTTACCTATGAAAGGGATTTCCATGCATGACCATATATTCCATTTTTATAAAATGACTCATTCTTTTATTATAAATTAAGTAGGTCAAACCAGGTGAGTGCTTTCAAAATAAAGCAACAGAAGGCATGAATATTCATAAAATACTAAACCTGCTCAAAAGCACTGGACGTTATGCGTATGGTATGATGTATATGATAGGTATCATGGATATTCCAACTGTATTGTTTCAAAATAGAACTTGAATCATTTCTAAAAATAAAACAGTGTTTTGTAAACAGAGAATCTAACAGCGTACATAGATTAAAAATATTATTTGTTAAAGCGTATATATACATTTAAAGTATTATATATAGCTACATAGTTATATATATTTTTAAGTAAGCAATCATGAAACTTTTTATTAATATGCTATTATTACTTATTTAGACAAGTTGCTACAAGTGTACATAAAAATTTTTTAAGTTCCTTCTGAACAAATATTTAAAAACAGTGTATTTATTTTTTTATTATTGCAGGGCTAGAAATTGTTGATATTTATGACCTGTATATAAAGAAAGATGATTAATTTTCTTGACTGAAATCAGTATTTAATACTGTAGGCAGGTGTTTATTTTTATACATACTTTATGATGTATCATATACATTAAGTGTAAAATCTCTCCATCATAACATGACCCTAAGGCACACTGCCTGTCAATCAGCTTATTGACACTGATAGAATCCCAATCAATTTATTTATCATACTCATTACTCAGTCTTTACTTAATCAGAATTTTTAAAATTCCAGTAAATACTCAAATAGCACAAACTTCTCTGCAGTGCAACAGATTTTTTTAGTAGTCAATATTACTGTACTGCAAAAAATTCTACCCTTCATGTTGATAATAAAAACAATATATACAAGCAGATTGTTAACTTGTGTACATGTATTTAAAGAAATTATTTAGAATTACTAATCTGCACTACCCCTTCACTTTGAAAAGAATTATGTTTACTGCAATGTTCATGTACATCACTCTAAAAAAAATAATATTAATAAACATATCACATACTATATACTCACCAGTAATGGAGAAACTTTGCACAACAGTGTAAAATTTGTAAGATTTCTATACAATCTTCATGAAATTCATGCCAACTTTAAGTATAATGCATCATTTATATACAACATTTTTGTAATGAAGAAAGAATGAGGGTGCATTTGATGTGATTTTGGTAGGAATTTGGGCATACTTGAAAAGTAGAGATTTATACGCAAGTTTCGAGATTGTAGCTCTCCAGTGATGGAGATGCAAATAGTATACATATCAGCATGGAAGTGGGACAGGTTGTCCATGTACACAAATGTGCATAAATAAATGAACGATGATTAGGGCTCTCAAAATTCATTTAATGCTATAGATAGATTATAAGGTCAAACCGCGATGATTTTGATGATTTTATTGAGCTCTACTATAAAAGTTTTACAAATCTACTTTCAATTAGGATAAATTAAACTAAAGAACCGTCATAGTCTTTAACAGATTATTTTGTAAAATAGACACTTCCTTGATTGCACTAACCTTTTTCTAAGAAGTTAGTGGACTCTTTGAAATTATTATAATGGAAAGAGTCAGTGTGTCATTCATAATGCCGACATGCAATTATAAGATGCAAGTGTATTTATCAGGTGTTAATTAGAAATCCATCTCTCTTCTTCTTCTGATAAGCCTTATCCACTGGTATTTTCTTTTGTTCCAATTTTTTTTTTGGTGGGAAGAAATGGACATCTTTACTTAAATTAGGTAATTTTCGAGTTGATGGGTGCATTCTGACAAACAGTTATAATTGACCGGCATATCCATGATGTAACGTTATAAATAACTGTCCCACCTGTTGGTTTACAGGGAAACAAAACCCCCTCCGCAACGAAAGAGCACACTAAGGGAGATAATCTCGAAACTTGTGTATTGATCCGTACATGATATGTAAGCATGTAATTGATTTATCGGATTCCTGTGAAATTGGAAAGGGAAATATTTCCCCAATTTTGTGTTTTGATTTGCTAAAATATGCTATGAAATATGGCCGTATGAGTTATTTGGTACAGATTGGAACATTTTTATAACTTTTTTTTTTTTTTTTTTTTTTTATAAATGCCATCTGTGGGTCATCTCTCCACGATCTAAAACTTTCTTTGTGTGCATTTTAACTCAACGAAAAGAGCAAAAAATCATTTAAAGATCGGAAGAAGACCCAGAGACCATAAATTAACTTTTTCCAAAAATAAAATCCCAATGTGTAAATGTGCTACCTCATTGTTTGATATGTGATGATGATATCACAGTGATATATGTGACCTGTTCCTGACAGTGAGTAATCAATAGTTTTTGGTTTGATTCTCATATGGAGTTTTTTTTTTTAAGAACAAACAATCCACTTGTTTGTCCATTGATTTAAATTATTCAATTTTAAAGTAAAGTTTTGTGTTGCATTGAGAGCAATTATAAGCAGTTCTTTCCACCTACTGAAATTCAATACATTTTGCGTGTAACTATTCTCTATCTTATAACTATCAACTCATTAGGTGAAGTGATACTATGATCAGATGATATAGTTTAACTGTTAAGATAAGCAGACTTAAATATATCAAATTTTGACAAGGTATTTCAATGTATGTAATGTAAAATTTTGCTATGTGAAGTGTGCCCAGCTGTGGTCAGCTGACTGAAGTAATTATACTTGACTGAACATTTAAAATTTTTAAACTATGATTGATCCGTTCACACGATTCCTACAGATTACACATTAAATACACCCATCTTCTTCGCACATAAATACATATTCTTCAACTTTGTCAGGACATTCATTTGGACAAATATTGTGAATGTGTTATTACTCCTCTCCCTGTAAGCTTTAGGATGACTTTCCCATGTTGATGTAAAACAATTACAGAAGATACTAAGTTATATCTTCTGAATTATCCCTTATATTGTAGCCATTGTAGAGTTGCAGATTACACTTAAACAAGTCTTTTTTTTTTTTTTTTTTTTTTTTTTACAGATCCATACATTTGTAATTGAATCAGATATAGAATAAAACCCATGCAAATCATTGTAAATTACATGTCCATTATAAAGTATAGTTAGCATCTGTATTAAATTTGTATGTGTGACTGTTATAATTTCATTATTTTATGTATTTTATTTTTCTAGGCAGATTGCAGTATTTCATGACATCAACCTATTTTGACATCCAACATTTGGAAAATATGAACTCAACTTCAGTTGCTGAAAACTCCACGTTTTCCATTATTAACCACCATGACTCCTCAGAAACAGAGATGGAAAGTGATGAAATAGATCCTACATCTATTAATGAAGTCCGTCGTGTGATCCAAGATGATACAATAAATGAACAGGTAGAGTTAAGATTCAGTATATCAATTTATGATTTAAATGGAACACCATACTATGCAGACCATTTTTTTTTAAATTTCATGTTTAATTTTATTGTATATTAATTGTATTTTAATTTTCCATAGCCTTCTAAATAAGAAACACACTAAAATATGTAAAAAAAAAAAAAAAAAAAAATAACTCAGCATTGCATGTTTTTGGCAGTAAACCAATTAGAAATTAAATAAATAAAAGATGACAGTGTTTCAATGAATTTATGTGAATTTTATTTTTTTTAATAGTGCATAGTGCTCTCCCCCCCCCCCCCTCTCTCTCTCTCTGAAAAAGGTATGTGTGCTTGGACATACAGGGATATGCCTTTGCTACACAACTATAAGCTGTAGTTATTTTGTAACAAAATATCATGATAATGGACCATGTTCATTTGTTCTACAAATCTGTAATATGACAAAATGAATTTATTTTGTTGATGAGTATTGCATATTAAGGAGAAATTAATATACTGAATTTGGTAATAAAATATATTACAAAAAATAGGAACTACTAATATATCCTGAAAAGACCAGTAAAATTAAGATGGCAGTAAGACATTAGCATCCTTTAGTAATGGGGCTTGTTACAACAATCGGCTAGTTGACCACAAATCCGGTATGTACCTAAAATAACATAGTTCTGTACATAAAATTAGAAACAAAAGGTCATTTGTTGACACTGCGGTTAATATTATCAGGTATTGCAGGGAGGGATTGACAGCTGTAAGGTCAGGGGGACTTTAAAGATTATCCCAATGTATTTCCACCATCTGACTGTTTTATTCATTGTTTATCTTTAAGGAAAAACAAATTCATTTCCACAGTGTATACATGCACATGTACTACCATTTTTTTTTTCTTTTTTTATTTTATTTTTGTATATTTGAAATGAAGCCAAAGACACCAAATGTAGTGATCTGTACTGAGTGACGAAGGGGTAAATTAGGGGTTCGATGGGGGTAAGATTTTCTACAGACGGTACTTAAAATGAAAAATCTCACTCCCTTTTAGAAAGTTTTGAACAAGTCAGTTCTAAATAAACTTGCTCTAAATGTAAATGCATTATCACCTCAAAAATCTTACACTCAGGTACTGTAAATCACTCTTTATTTACGAGAACTTTATTTTAATGTAATTATGCGAGACGGTCTGCTTAAAAAAAAATCATTCTCATGTATATTTTTATTAGTATAGAATCATTCTCACGTATATTTTTATTAGTACATGTATAGACGATATACAACAATACCCAGATTTTGTGAAAGTTTTGTCTCGCTTTTGAATGCCAAATACCCATCTTGCGAAAATAGGTGTTGTGAAAATTTTGTGATGTATAGTACATCTGTATTACATGTATTTCCTTCCATGGCTTAAGACTACAAGTTTTTTTTTATATTAAAGAAGCCATTTTCATTATTTTAATTCCTTGTACCTGTATTTTTAATTTTAGTGAATTTGTAAAGAAATATTTCATGCGCATTGTTTTTTTTACCAGTGTTTTTAATAAAATTGCCTAGGAAATATCAACTAGTCTACATGAAAGTACAATCTAAATGTTGTAAATCTCCAGAACTAAAATTGCACCTATATATTTTTAGTCAGTACTAATGTACTGCTAATGCATAAGAAAAAATATGTTTGTTTACTATTACATGCTAATAAAGAATAGGGGTGGTGAACAGACATGCAATTTTTGGATTTTACAACAATTTCAAAAAATTTTGGGTCGGCCCGTAAAAGTGGGTGGGTCGGGTAACCATAAACAAACAAATACCATATAAGCAGAATTTTTAGTGAGGATTCAATTTTGGCATTATTAGCGGGGGCTCTGAGATCACTAAAATTGAATATCGTTAACAATTTATTCCTTATTGGTTGTTATACTTTCTCTCTTGACATTAGAAAAATCGCTAATATTACTTCTCACTAAAAATATCTGCATGTACCAATTTTTTGTGGGTAAATTACTAAATTTGCATCTCACTAAAATTTCCACTTATAAGGTACATGTATTTCTCTTAGTTCAAATGTTGTGTAAAATCTTTTTAATACTTTGCTTAGCTTGGAGAATAAAATTTCTTGTGTGTGAAACAGAAAGTACTCAATACAGAGATTTAAGAAAATTAATTTCTCAAACAATGATAAATTTCTGATTCACAACTGTGAACTGTGGGCTGGTTCTTTATCGCTGTCCATGGTAATAGAAACTTATGTTGGACTATTTTAAAGTACATTAGTACTTTGTTTACATTTTGCAAGGAAAGTTAGTTAAGAATTATTGATTGGTAGGAAGTGGCTCATCTAATGTAAAGTACCTTCTTATATGGTCCACTTCCTGACATCAGCTTATGTCAGGCTTTAGCAGGAAAGCCGGGAGATTTGGCTTCAAGGATCCAGGATCTCCCTGATCTGTGTTATCAGAAACTTTAAAACAGATAAAAATGATAGGAAGTCTCCTCTTCTAATTGGGAAGTTAGAAACAGACCAGGATGCCTGATGGCTTCCTATGTATTTCTTGTTTTTCTTAGGACCACTTAAAAAAATATCTAAAAAGGTAGATATTATATAATTTTTAATGACACTGGTTTGGCAGGGTTGTCAGAAATCTGATAATTTACCAGTACATGAAATATGCTGATGGGGAAGCCAAACATACACACAAACATACACCGTTATGATGAATAATCCTAATAAATACATAAGTCAATTTAAAAAAAGAATTACATGTATTTCATTAATATACATGTATTTTAAAGTAGTATGGATCAGATGAAATTTTTAAAAGTCATTGTGGACCCTGAACATTGAATAACATCAATGTAATTGAATGAAAGGTAAATTAAGTCATAACTTGTATATGATGGTATAAGTTGGTATAAAGCATCCTTGGGCAAAGGGGAGTTTATTTAATTAAAATGAAGGGCCAAGCCCCCTCACAAGGGGAGATAATCAAGAAAAGACAAAAATAGGGTGGGGTCATTAAAAAATCTGATGATGAAGAACCACTGGGCCAGAAAAGCTGAAACTTCTGTGGAATCTTGAATTCTTCCTGAAGTAGTGTAAATTCTGAATTGTTCAAATCATGGCCCCCAGGGTTAGGGTGGGGCCACAGTAGGAAATCAAAATTTTACGTTGATATATTTAAGGAAAAATCTTTAAAAATCTTCTTCTTGAGAACCTCAGGGCCAGAAAACTTGAAACTTATGTGGAAGCTTCATGGGGTAGAGTAGATTCTAAATTGTTCAAAGCATCATCCTTAGGGGTAGGGTGAGCCCCAATAAGGAATCAAAGTTTTACAATGAAATATATAAGAAAAATCTTTAAAAATCTTCTGATGAAAAACCACTGAGCCGGAAAAGCTTAAACTTATATGGAATCTTCCTTAGAAAGTGTAGATTCTAAATTGTTCAAAGCATCACCCCCGGGGTAGGGTGGGGCCACAATATGTATTACAAGGGGGAAAATCTGCTAAAGAACAGCAGGGTAAAAGTTATTCAGGTGAGCATTGGGGCCTCTTGTTGTTCCAAAGAAAAACATTGATGACTGTCATGATTGGAGAATATACTTGTTTTAGAAATGATAGCTATTTTGTAGTTTTCGAAGGATTCAATATATATTTATAATTTTTGTTAATTCATTTTTTTTCATTTACAAAAAATAAGAAAATTAAGCCGTGCATAAAAGTAAATTCTAGACTTACATGTACTTCATTGTAAAAATTGATTGTCATTCTCTCATGTCTCGCTGGGGAGACATAGTTTATTGGTATACTTCATCTGTGTCTCTCGGAGACAGTCCTGCTAAATGCTAGAAGAGATCATTATCCCTTTTAATAGTTCCTATAAGGCCTTAGTTATATTTCAGTGTAAGTGAAGGGTATTTGACAGTGCTACCAATTATATACATTACATATAATGGTTAACAATTGACACTGGGGAGTCTGTTTTAACATATCGTTGTCTAAAGGGAGTTTGAAATGTTGAGGTTACGGAAACTTGGGTTCTTTTAGCGGAAACTGTGCTATCGTGTAATCTAAACAGGAATTCTCCACCAAGTGGAGGAAAGCTAAAACAATGTTGGTGTAGAAATAAATATTCCAAAAATGTCACCCGGTAATAGAAACAAACAGTAAAAATAATATAAATTTTTCATGCCTGCAGATCTGTGTCTGTGACAGAATGTTCACAATTAGATAGTGGCATCTATTTATTGAAATGAAAGTTTATGCACTAAGAGTCTGTGTATTTCTGTGAAATTAATTAATTAATTGATTAAACTTGTTTGTTGGTATAAATACTGATGCCATAACTATTCTTAACCTCTGGTTGCAAATTATCATAAATTTTACACATCTGTTGTGAATTGAAACTTATTAAAACTCTCCTTGCATGCTCCCCAAATAGTCATTTTTTGGACATCAAATTTCATTTTTGAATGTTTGACTTAATTCTTACATTTTTTATTTCTTTTTGTATTGCATCACAAATCTAGCTCAAATGAAATACCCAGTACTGGTATTTCGTTTCATGAAATATCAGTAAAAAGTTTATTTCATTAGTTATCAGAGTCTATTATTTAAGAATCCATCTTCATCTGTTGTCATGTGAACTTTGGAACTTATTTATTTTCTTCTTTAAAATTTTAATTGACTGACCAGTAGTTTTGTGGATTCCTTGTGTCATGGGTTCTTTTCACTCCTTATCTAGCAGATAAAGTGTTAACATGGTCATAATGAGCACTGAGCCTTCTACAGAATCATATTTTTTATGGTCAAGGCCTACGTGTAAAACATTTTTTAAATTAAAAGTTGAACATATTGAAAATGCATGTCATAAAATTCATGTCATAAAAATTTTACTAATTACCACTGGACATCTGACAAATTTTCATGGTTTAAAATGAGCCTTTATGTCCCTTGGATGTATGGGTTACATGCTCCAAATGGCATGGATATTTTTGAAATTGATTTA